CATACACAGGGTACAGTTCCCATGCAAAGCTTAAATGATCCTTCCAACATCCCTATGTGAGCAACAGACACACTTCATCTGAAAGCAGTCAACTCCTTGATGATGTCCCTGATTTTAACAAGCATACGTTTATGAGCGTGATCACAGTAAATATTCTCAACTACCACAACTGTAAATTATGTACCACTTCCTTCCCACCTCAACTATCACTTTCCAAAGGTAGTATTTGCCTAACTAAAAGAAAAAAAAAGATGTGGAGACCACACGGGGCTCCTAACGAGGAGTATCCAGGGGCCTTCCATCACCCTGGAATGAAGCCCAAACTTGTCATGAGTGCCCAAGGGTCTGATACGACCCTGTGACCTCCCCACCATAGCTTGTCCACCCGCGCCTTCATGCACAGCCTCTAGTTCAGGGTTTCTCAATTTCAGCACCAGTGACGTTTTGGTCCCAATATATCTTTGTTTGTGGAGGATGTTGTGGGACGTTTAGAGCCATCTCTGGCCCTCTCCATGAGCTGCCAGCAGCACCCTCCCACACTGTGGCAACAAAAATGTCTCCAGACACTGCCAATCACCCAGGGTGGGAATCAGTCCTGTTGGGAATCACTAGTCACATCCCACTGAACAAGCCATACATCTCCCCATTTAGGCCCCTTATTAAGGCTCCCCCCCGCCCCGACCTCACTCTTGCTTAGGCATTGTCACGTCTGCCTCCTTCTCTGTTCTGACCTCAGTTTAGATGTCATCTCTGCAGAAGGGTCTTCTTGACCAATCAGACTGAGGTGGGCCCTCCAAAGTCACCCTGTATTACATCACTGCATTTGAATTTCTCCATATCCTTTATTAACACACGAAATGATCCAGCTTATTTGTTCACCATTGTCTCATTGGGCTATAGTTTCATGAGAGTAGACACTCGTCCGTCTTCATGAGGAATCCTGAATATGACCACCAGTACCAGACATATCGCAGGTATGTGACAATTATCAAATGAACACACAAATGACTTCCTTCTTCATTACTGGGAGCTTTTTTGACAGTCAAGGAGTGATGGCAGAAGGGGGTTGCAAAATGCTTGGGATAATTCCAGTCCATGATTATTTGAGAAAGTCTGGGGAGACTTTGTTTTGTTTTGTTTTTTAATTTTTTAAAAATGTTTATTTATTTTTGACAGAGAGAGAGAGAGAGAGAGAGAGAGAGAGAGAGAGCATGAGCGGGGGAGAGGCAGAGAGAGAGGGAGACACAGAACTGGAAGCAGGCTCCAGGCTCCGAGCTCTCAGCACAGAGCCCAACGTGGGGCTCGAACCCACAGACTGCGAGATCATGACCTGAGCCAAAGTAGGACGCTCAACCTACTGAGCCACCCGGGCACCCCTAGGGAGACTTTGTTTTGACAGCATCCTATAGCCTCAGCTTTCTTAGTCTGGTGAACTAAGTGCTGGGGTCCCAAGGGAGTGACCCCCCACCAATCCAATTTTCTTATCAAGCAGGTTCCACGTGGTCTTCCAGGCTCTGACAGTCCATATCTGTGACAACCCAAGCAGAAGTGAAGTGGGTAGAGAGAACAGTCACATCTTGGAGAGTTTATTGACTTAAAGGGAGTATTGAATGTTGAGTCCGGAATAGGAAGCTAATCCAGGAAAAAGGAAGGAGCCCTGCCGGGAGCTAAGGTGTGAGAGGGTGGAGGCCACATTGTTGGAGGCCCGGATGACCCTCCCTCTGAAGCAGCATGGTCCCCCCTCCTCCTGACCCCCTCGGTCACACACACTCCTCCTTCACATCTCACAGGATGCGTTTCTGGGGGGCCCCAACCAGCCTCTTGATTCTCTTCTCTTTGCCAAAACACAAGCTAATTCCAGCTCTTTCCTACCTCTCTGAAGCTGCTGATTCAGTGAGTCACTTTCTATCCTCATTGTCTTCTTTGCTCTTGGCAGACTTCCTTACAGAAAAAAAATCCTTTGCAACATTAGCATTGACCACAAAGGATATGCTTTTCTACCTTTTTTTTTTTTTTTACATCTCATTTTCAATCTCAATTGATTTAATCTGTTGCAACTACAACTCATTACGATTAAACATTAGAGGCAGAAGTGTGGTGGGCGGGAGGCAATATTGCTAGAATGTATATCAAATATTGAAGTTTTCAAAATAAAAATAAATCACTTTATTTTTTCCTATAGACACACAGCTGCTCAAAACAGCACCCTCCCGGGTGGCAAAATTGAATATCGATTAGTAGAGAACACATGCCCACTGAAATGGACTGAGCTGAGCACCCAAGCCTCTTTGTGGCTTTTTTCCCTAGAGGGAGAAACCCAAGCAAGAGTCTGTGGTTCTCTCCCCAACAGCACCGGTGTGTGCCAGGCTGGGGTATCTGGAACTTGGACTCACAGGAATTTGTCATTTTTATGGCTCTGTGACGAGCCAATGCTGAGGAATGCTCTGGTTCCAGCTGCTTTTCCACCTGGATAGATCTCAGTGACAATGCTCAAGAAGTACATTGGAAAAGGAATTGGAGGGGCGCCTGGGTGGCGCAGTCGGTTAAGCGTCCGACTTCAGCCAGGTCACGATCTCGCGGTCCGTGAGTTCGAGCCCCGCGTCAGGCTCTGAGCCATCAGCCCAGAGCCTGGAGCCTGTTTCCGATTCTGTGTCTCCCTCTCTCTCTGCCCCTCCCCCGTTCATGCTCTGTCTCTCTCTGTCTCAAAAATAAATAAACGTTGAAAAAAAAATTAAAAAAAAAAAAAGAAAAGGAATTGGAAAATCACTGATAACAAGATTCCAGACTATTTTATGAAGGCTCCATTAAACTGTCATATACCCACAGCTACCCTCCCCCCCACACACCCCACAGCGCCACACACAGGATGTCCTGGCTACAACTCAGCACTAAGAATTTTGAAATCTCGATAGAATATACTAGATTTTAAAAACTGCTGGGAGGCTTTTTGCCTCAAGAAGCTAAACCTCGTAGGTCACTGTTAAGGCTGACTCTGATATGAAATCTACTTCCAGTACATAAATGTAAAGAACCATTTTGTGCTAGGAAAACTAGGAAGTGAGCTGAATGCACACGTTTAGATGAAAAACAGAGCCTTCCCTCTGGGAGTATAAGGCCAACCCCCACCTGCCCCAGCAACACATGTGCCCCGTGTATGATTCCCCATGCTCACACACTCATCTGATGGGAACTATCTCCAGGGGTGTCTCTTCCTAGCAAGTAATTTGAGACACAGAAAAAAATCCCCTCATTGCTCAAGCCAATTAGATGGGATTTTGGTTGTTGAGATGTGAAGCATGTTAAACCCACAGAAATTCACTCAGACTGACAGCTGGGGTGGGGGTTACCCCTTGTCTTGGTTTCCTGGGGCTGCCATGACAAAGTGCCACAACCCAGGTGGCTTAAAGCAGCAAACACTTATCCTCTCATAGCTCTGGAGTCTAGAAAGCTGAAATCAGGAGTCAGCACGGCCATGCTACCTCCGAAACACGTAGGGGAAGACCTTTCCTTGCCTCTTCCGGCTCCCGGTGGTTATTCGCGATCCTCGGTGTTCCTTGGTTTATGGCCACAGCGCTCTGGTCTCTGCCTTTGTTACATGGCCTTCTCCCTGTGTGTCCGTGTCTCTGTGTCCAAATTTCCCTCCTTTTAAGGACACTAGCTAGACTGGATTGAAGTCCATTCTAATCCAGTAACAATTTCATCCTAACTAATGACATCTGCAAAGTCCCTATTTCCAAGCAAGGTCACATTCTGAAGTACTGAGGGTGAGGACTTGAACGTATGAATTTGGTGAGGGGCACAATTCCACTCACAACAGGGTCTTTCCCAGGAACTCCTGTAACGACACCCTGCTTGCTCTCAGAAACAACCTGGGCAAACTCCGCGGGGAGTCGAGAGGTCGAGCCGTGGTGGTGCCCTCCTTGCGTACTTGGATCATCTGAGTTGATGAGTTACATGTTAGGGACCCATCTTTAATGAGACTGTACCATGAACTACCAAGACTAGAACCTGCTCTGATTCATGCCAGTGTCACCTGCAGTGATGCACGAGCTGCGGAGCCCGGGGGCGAGCTAGACTACCAGGAGATGCCCCGGGGCCAGGGGCTGTCGGCAGAGGTTGGAAACAAAGTGCCCTAATGACAGCTGCCACCCCCTGAGACAACTAGGATGTGCACATGCCCACGCCTGCGATAGCGTTGCAGCAGGCGACAGGAAAGGAGGACATGGCCAAAGCCTGGAAGTCCTCCGTGCCCTTCAAGCCAACACAGCTTCAGCATTCCTGCAGACAGCGGGGGCGGGGGGTGGGGGGGGGCGGCGGATGAGAACCCTGGGCTGGGTATGTCCACACTGGCAGGGAGTGAGGGGAAAGGTGTATTGAGGCCCGAGACCCCCTCCCAGAAGGGTGAGGCGAAGGGCATGATGGGGGATACGTAGGGTTGGCTCTGTCGCCAGCCCTCAGTGCATCTACTGAGGCTCCACAAACCCAAGTACGGCGTTGGGACAAGAGGCAGGGGCTGGGACCAGCGTGGGCACCTGGAGTTGGACTCTGCACGGGGAGGGGGGGGGCTGGGTCATGAGCTGGGAAGGTCAGAAGTCAGGGCGGATTAGCGGGCACGACGAAGTGACAGGGGCTGAGAATAGCTGCTCTGGGGAATGAAGGGTGACTGCAACACATCCCCAACAGCACTTTGGAGACAGCTGAGACTGGAACAGCATTTCCGGGGGGGCTCTGTGCTACCAGAACCGTCGGTGTGTTTCCCGGGCAGCGGCCCTCAGCGCTGGCTCCATGTGAGAGCTGCTCGTGGAGTATTAAAAAATAGCCATATGCCAGGATCCCACCTTCAGAGATGCTGATTTAATTGGCCTCGGGGTAGGACTCACGTGAGTGTTTTGTTGTTTATTATTTATGTATTGTTAAAGCTTATTTATTTATTTTGAGAGAGAGAGAAAGCGTGAGCAGGGGAGGAGCAGAGAGAGGGAAGAGAGAGAATCCCAAGCAGGGTCCACACTGTCAACGCAGAGCCCGATGCAGGGCTTGAACCCACGAAACCATGCGGTCAGGACCTAAGCTGAAGTCAGATGCTTCGCTGAGTGAGCCCCCTAGGCGCCCCACACATGAGTATCTTCTAAAGCACCCTGAGTGATTCTGTTGTGCAGTCGGGCGGACAATCACAGTTATCGAGGGACAAGAGAAGAAGATGGAGAGTTCTTTTATCAACTCCGGGTGAGGAACGGACTCCAGCACCACATTTCACAGTAAACTGAAAACCAGAGCACTAATTATTCGTAAAAGAACAAGCTCTGACAGATGCATCCACCTCTGGGGCCTCCTTTCAGAACAGAGAGGACCATCCTGGCAGGGCTGTCCTGGCACTGAGCCAGCTGGCCCGGAGGGCGAGGCCACATCCCTGGTAAATGGGCACTTCTCCGAAATTCCACGTCTGTGAGGGTGGGTGGTGACGCTGACGAGGCCAAACCGGAAAACAACACCAGCCCCGGAGGGGCACCCACAGAGGTCACCAGCAGGAAGACAGATGGGGCCCGGAGCAGGTCCCCGAAGGCACCTCTGGCAGAACACCACAGAGGCACCCATGGGGGCCAAAGGTAAAGGGTGAGAGGGAATGGGAGCCTCTCCCGGAGCTCCGGCCCTGTGGGTGGGTGACCCCCACAAAGAGAATACCCCCATCCCACTGCTGCTCAGGAGGTAGGGGCATCCGGCCATCACTTCTAAATTGTAGGGCTGGTTCTTACACACAGGGAAAATTAATTAACCTTTTAGCCTCAGTGGGGTGGAAAAATACCAAGTCACCACGCAGGCTTTCCAAAGGTTAATTATTTCACATTTCAGTGCCTCCCGGAAGCACTGAAGATCCTCATCACGGTTTCTTCGCCCGCCCTGGATCCTCTCTCTCTGGTTTTCACTTAAACGGAATTTCAGGGATCTACAATAGCCGAGCTGGCTTGAACTTGGGGACTGACACATAGGAAGGCACCAGAGGGCCTCGCGTCAGTTTCTCTCACCGAGTTGCAAGTTGAAGGCGTCTTACGGTAGAGGGGCCAATATTTGTACAGCGCCCTGTGGTTTATGAATCACTTGTTTACCGTCTCGCCAAATCAGTAAATTCTGAAGACAGGTGTAAGTAGATGTGGACCTTGTACCGTCGCGCACTGTTGGATACCTGAGGCCTCTCATCTCCAGACCACCTTACAGTGAGAGATTTTGGGTGCGGGAGGAACTAACTTCTCTTGATGGAATTCAGGTCAGAGCTGCCATATTGAGAACTCGGAGTCTAAGGAAGAGTCCGGTTTTACAGACTGGCTCATTTCGGCATCACCTGGGAAAAGTGCCGGCCTCGTCGGTGTGTGACCGGACGGTGCTATGGGGCCCCACGTTCAGGAGGACTCTGACTGAGGTTAGAAGGATCACGCACTGGTTGAACGTTCTCCCTTCACCTTGAAAAGATTTTTAAAATATTTATTATTTACTTTTGAGAGAGAGAGAGAACAGGAGGGGCAGAGAGAGGGAAACGGAGAATCCCAAATAGGTTCCGCATTCTTAGCCCAGAGCCTGATGCGGGGCTCGAACCCACACGCTGTGAGATCATGACCTGAGCTGAAATCAAGAGGTGGACGCTTAACCAACTGAGCCACCCAGGCACCCCGACCTTGAATTTTTTTTCGTAATTTTTAAACAAGGGCTCTTGCCTCTTTATTTTGCACAGGGCCCTGCAAATTCTGTAACCAGTCCTGCCCAGGAACGTCTTAAAAATGCAAAATCTCAGGCCCTTGCCTGCACCTTCTGAATCAGAATCTGCATTTTAACAGGATCCTCGGGTGATTCACACGCACGTGGAAATCTGAGCAGCGCTGCTTACACCACCTCGGAGTTATCTTCCTAGACGTTAGTACAAAAAGGTGTTATTAAGAAGAGAGAAAATATTCTGTAAAATACATGCAGGACAATGAAAACTCTGGCAACCTACAGATTTTTTTTAAGTGGGCTTAAACTTAGTATCTTGGAATATGCAATAGTCTCAGGTTGTTTCGGAAGACTCACACCAAACAGAGACCTTGGTTCAGAATACTTGTACCCCCACAGGTAGGTTTCCTGGGATTCTATTTCTCCTGGAGCCTTGGGAAAGCCATACCCCCATCCATTTTGGAAGTCGCTGAGATCATCCACTTGCGCCTTGGTTCTCAATCATTTTGCCGTCCCAACACGCCTGAGAGGCATGGCTCTCCCACCAGGCACCAGGGGGCTCTAAGAAAGGGTGATGATCCCAAGTGGCTGCCCAGGCATCTTGAGAGTCGGGGGGAAGAAAGACATGCTTCAACCCTTGGCACTCCAGCGATCACCCAGCTGAGAATCACTGAAGGAAACATCTGTCGTATTTTCTGGGTTTGAGATCTTTGAGTGCATGGTGGCGTCTCTCAGCAGAAGAGCCCCCTGGAAATGAAGGACATGGGTCTCCCTCTCTCTCTGCCCCTCCCCCACTCATTCTCTCTCTCTCTCTCTCTCTCTCTCTCTCAAATAAATATTTAAAAAATTTTTAAATAAAGCAAAATAAAATAAAAAGACAATATCAACATTTGATGAGATTTTGGAACAATTAAGATTCTCAAGTACTGGTAATGGGAGCATGCGTGCCACTTAAAAAAAAAATACTGGCATCTTGAGATTACTTTAAATCTATAAACCAGTTTTGAATAAATGACATTTTAACAATATTTAGGTTTCCTCTTCATGAACTTTGTATATCTGTCCATTTGCTTAGGTCTCCTTTGACTTTTTATTTTTTTCCAGTGATGTTTTATAGTTTTCAGTGTGGAGGGTTTGAACGTCCTTAGACTTCTTCCCAGGTATCCAATGTTTTCTTGACCCAGTTGTAAAAGCCACCATTAAAAAATATTTTTTTTCTAGTTACTTCTGCTGGTACAGAGAAAGACAATAGGTTTTGGGCATTTGGAATCCAGCAACTTAGTTAATGACATAGGTCTCGTGCCTGATCTCCCAGGGCACTAACTCAAATCTCACAATGACTACAATTTCTTTTAATTCATCTACTGCATTTTAAAATTTTGAGATGCATGTTAGCTAAGCTCCATCAGCGTGCGTGTACGTATGTGTGCGTGTGCACAACCGTGCTGTATGTGCACGTCCCACTTACTCTTATCAGGCACTCTTTGGTCTCCTGCAGCCATTGTGTGACTCTGCACAAGTGTCCCCATGGTTCTGCTTTCCATCCTGTCCCCGCCGGGTGGCCTCATGTGGACCTACCATTCTCTGTGGGTGTCATTGGCGAGTCTCCTTAGTGACAGGAAATCTCACAGGTGGTGAAAGACAAAGGAGTCTCTGGCCCTGTGGACCTAAGTGACAAGGGCCCTCAGGGCCCTAGGAGCCCCAGGGGGACCTTCTCTGTCCTCTGTTCTCTATCTCAAGCACAGGGACACCTCAATCCACCAGTCTGCTCCTCTTGGCCTTCTGGGGTCAGGATGACTCTGGACTATTTTTACTCAGAACTCTGACAACACCTGTGGAGTTTTTTTTCCCATATCAACGACATCCCCAAATCTCTGGACATCGAGTGCCCTAATGTTGAATTCAAGTCTGACACCGACTACCTGAAGTCTGTGGCAGATTCTACACATTTAAGGGCTCAGTCCCAAGACTGCCCCACTTCAGACACCAGTCAAAAGTCCTAGACTACCCATACTTCTGGCCAACCGGCTATGAATCAGGGGTTCCTACAGCCCCCCTCCTCAGGTTGGATGGTTTGCTAGAACTGCTCATGGATCTCAGGTTAACACTTCTGTTTACCAGGTTTATTATAAAGGAACAGCCAGAAACAGCCAGGTGGAGGAGACACACAGAGCAAAGTGCGGGGGCTGGGGTGTGGGGCTTCCGTGGCCCCTCTGTGCATGACACTACCCCAGCACTTCGTGTGTGTGTGTGTGTGTGTGTGTGTGCGTGTGCACACACGCGCCCCAATCCAGAAGTTCACCAAATCTCTCACATCAAGAGTTTTTACAGAGCTTAATCTCCAGCCCCTACTACTCTTCATGGTGGCTGCTAGGTGGGGCTGGGAGTTCCGACTATCTAACCACTTGGTTTTCTAGTGACCAGCCCCATCCTGGGTCTTTCTAGGACCCAAAATATCCCTTGGCAATCTAGGAACTGCATTCCAAGTCACCCTAGTAGCATAAACCAAGGTGTGATCAGAAAGAGCTCTTCAGGGATAACAGAAGACATCCCTACCACTCAGGAAATTCCAGGATTTTAGGAGTTCTGTGTCAGGAATGAAGACAAAGGCCAAATACATTTCTTATACCACAGAGCCTCTGCCCAAGCATGTGGTCACTTCTTTTCTCCTTCAGGAGAGACTATGGACCCCTCAATTTCTTCTCAAACTGTGCCCTTCTGGTTCTTGCTCTGGGCTCTGTGTCCAATTCCCAGTAGATGACTCTGACTTTGTCATCTCATTCCCAATGTCCTCTCAATCCCAGCAAAACTCATTCACACCGAGTCACCCGCAGGTCCCAGCAACACCTGCTCAGGTAGGCAAGTGCCTTGGAACTGAGTGTGGAGGAGAAGGAGGCCATGTTCAGGTCTGAGGTTCCAGCCAGCGTGGCCTCTCTTGGTGACCTGGCCTGTGGCTTATCTGTTGGGCTCACTGTTAGAAGCATGGCAGGACAAGGCACTGATATACAAGCTTTGTTATTCATCTTTTTCTCTCCCTCCATTTTATGGAAGTAAGCAGGCTCTGAGTGGCCTCTCCTCAGGGAAGGTTTGGTGATAAATCTAATGTCAGTGGCTCTGTTTCTTTTGGAACTGCTTGAGGGGATCCCTTTACGGGCTTCGAGAAGGGAAAGGAAAAAGGTGAATAGGGTCAAGACTAGCAAGCCCTCAGGTCCCTGGTGAAGTGGCGATATTCAGAAAGGATACTTATGTAGGGTGCCATATTACCCAGCCAACTCTCTGGACACCGGAGTTGCCAGTGAGGCAAGGGGTTTGGGGCTTCCAGGCAAAGCATGGCTGGCTGGCTGCTGACTTGGAGACACCATGCAAGCTTGGGCACCATGCAGCAAATAAGACTTAAGACAAAGGGCTCTCCCAGGTCCTCGGGTTTGGCCAAAAACATCAGCAGCTCAGTCCCAGGCTGGAGGATATGGGTGTGGTGAAGAGGGAGCTAACGGTTTCCCACTAGCTTGGCGGGATGGAGACTGTTATGGGTTGAATTGTGTCCCTTCAAAAAAGATATTTTGAAGTCCTAACCTCTAGTACTTCAGAATGTGACCCTATTTGGAAATAGGGCCTTTACAAAGTCAAGTTAAAAAGTGAAGTGGAACACCTGGGGGGTTCAGTTGGTTCAGCGTCTGACTTCTGATCAGGTCATGATCTCACGGTTCCTGGGTTCAAGCCCCAGGTCAGGCTTTTTGCTGGCAGCGTGGAGCCTGCTTCAGATTCTCTGTCTCCCTCCCTCTCTCTGCCCCCCCCCCCCGCAGTCTCTCTCTCTCCCTCTCTCTCTGTCTCTCAAAAATAAAACATTAATTTTTTTTTTAAGTTAAGTTACAGAGGCACCTGGGTGGCTAAGTTGGTTGAGTATCCAACTCTTGATTTCAACTCAGGTCATGATCCCAAGGTCGTGGGATCAAGCCCCCCCATCAGGCTCTGCACTGAGCATGGAGCCTGCTTATCTCTCTCCCTCCCTCTGTGCCTCTCCCCAGCTCATCGGTTCTCTTAGAAAAAAAAAAAATTAAGTTACAAGTTAAAATGAGATCACTAGGGTGGGTCCTAAGCCAATATGACTGTATCCTTAAAAGAACGGAAATGTGGACACAGAAACAGGGGCACAGGGAGAACACCACAAACTCCAGAACTGTGAGACATTCCTCTTGTATAAGCCACTCAGCTTGAGGTACTTCATTACGTCAGGCCTAGGAAACTAACAGAGATTCAGAATTGGATTTAGGGGAAATTAAAAACATAGCATTTCTTACACCCCAGTGAGTTTGTGAACTGAGGTTCCCACTAGCTAGTGACAGGAGAGCTAATTTTCTGAAAGTCAATGTGGTTTTATGGGAAAAGTTCCTAAAACTGTACAGTATCCTTCAGCTGTCCATTCAAGATTATAAGGAGAGGAGGCTTTCTCTCCTCTAGAAAGCCTTTCCCCCTCCTATAATCCTTACAAGATCGCGCTGAGGTAAATTCCATGCTACTGACAAGGAGCATGGCAGCCAGACAGGGTTGAGGCCAAGAACACAACTTTTGATTCTTGGCCCCAGGGACATCCCATCATTCTTCCTGAAAGAGAACTTTCAGGAAGTTCTTTCCTCAGTGGTCAAAATCCTTCAGGTTGGAATTTCTCTTTATTGTCAGATGATGATCCAGTCTCCTGGCAAAAAAACAGAGACGAAAATAAATTTCCCACAGCTATACTGAACAAAGAAGCCACCGTTATGACGGCAGAATGAGAAAAGCCTTCCTTGGCCACTATCCATGTGAAGGTGACCGGGGGCTGTTGGGAGGTAAGTTGCTCAAGAGGAGCCAGTCGGATTCCGGGTTTGGTAAGGGAGCTAATGCAGGCTCAGGGGCATAAATAAAGACATGGTTTGCGTGGTCTGTACTTCACCAGAAATAACCATGCTTGGTGTTGAGAACCCGATTCTCTTGGGGCTCCCCCACACTAGTGTTATGTTGAGAGCACAGGCAGGAGGAACTCGGTGCCAGGAGCCAAGGCATATGAGGAAGGTGCCGTTCTTGGTCTGGACAGGAGTCCAGGCAGGGAAGCAGATAACCCCACCAGGTGAAGGCAGGCTTAGGTCTTACTTGGGAGGTTCCAGGTTCTAGAATGCAGCCGGGGAGGGACGTTTCATGCTGGTTCAAATGGAGCTGTCACATAAGGGGTCCCAGAGTGGCAAACAACTGTCCCAGAAAGCATTAACACCAAAGATGGACGGCCACGGATGAAGCCGGTTGGAGAATGAGAGAGAATCACTTCCTAAGTTCTAGATTCTCGATGCCCCTCACTGCACGTATATTTTCTAGTAAAATTATATTTCATTCATTTAATTTTTAACACAGGGCACTTTGAGGTTGCGGCAAGTTTAAGGAAATCTTTTTTTCATAAACAATAACAAAAACAGTAAGAACAGAAGCAACCAGGGAAATTGAGAACCATGAAGGCTCTTACAATTTGTCATGAGGCCACTAGGGGGCAGAGGAAGATAGCTATTTGGAGCCACTAAAAAACACTGCAATCCCAATCCTTTTTTCCCCACCACAAAATGCTTGAGCAGAAAAGAAAAAGTATAGTACAAACCAAAAATGGCTTTGCTATTATTAAGAACTGCCAGTATTCTGAGGTGGCTTCTACTTCGTATATAGAATGCTGACTCTACTTTTAACTACAACTCAACCGGTCAAAATTCAACCATACCTACGATTCAGCGCCGTGCTTCTGACCTCGCCATGAGGACACCCCAGCAGATGTATGTCATGGTCCATGCTCTCAAAGAGCGCTCAGTCAAGCTGGGAAAAGGAGGAACACACAGTTGCCATTTAGGGTTGATACGGCTGTTTGCTTGGCTGCTGCCATTTGATTTTGAGGGATTCTAAGTCCAGCATATGTCCAAGTATATCAGCCTCAGGTACAGCCTTGTTTTAGTCTCAGAAAAGTTTGAAGTTGTTAGTACACGACAGATCTTTTCCATTGCAACCATTCCTGTCTCACAAAGCACAAAGGAAGCAGATAATAATGAGTGGGAAACCAGTCACCGGGCACAGTGGAATAGCACTGGGAGGTACCTATGTTAGTGTTTCACAGCTTGTGAGAGCCCCTTAGTTAATTATCTTAGGCAGGGAATTAAGGATTTGATGCAGTGATCTTAGGGGTGAATTAAAGCATCTCTCCAAATCCCATGAGGTCTATGGGATAGATCCATGATCTATCATAGAGGGCCTATGATGTCTCCAAATCCCATGAGGTCAGGACAAAAGATAACATCCCATTCAAAGAAGGTGAGGCATTGAAGACTTACTTCTCCAAGTTCATTCATTCAGCAAACATTTATGAGCTCTTTGCTAGACCTGATGAGTGCCTGAGGGGCTTCTAGAGTAACTGAGGACACAGACACACAGTCTCCAAACAGAGTGCTATTTGAGATGCCATAGAGATATGTACAAGGAGCTATGTGAGCAGAGAGGAGAGGTTCCAAGGCTCAGCTGAGAGAAAGGGGCCCAAGGAGGCTATGTAGAGGTTGTGATGTTTTTAGCTGATTTGACTATTTGACAAGACAACTGGCAATAGCCAAAATAAAACGACCATGGAGGGACACTTCTGTGTTCCAAATTGCACAGGATTCCCACAGAGAACAAGACAGAAAAAAACAACATTTTCCCTGTGGAAGGCAAGCTTACAATAAAAATAAAAAATTACAAAGCACTAGAGGACACAGTCACCATGAGTTAAAGTGAATGTCCACACTAAAAATAGCTTTCAGATAATACAATGTTCAGATAGAGAGCATAAAGTAATGTTTAAAATTAAAACCGCAGATGAGAGACTAACTAACGAGGATAAGTATGACCAATGGGTTTGAAGAAGAGCCAAACAGAACTTCTAGAAATGAAAAATGGGATCGTTTCAATGAAGCACTTGGTGGATGGGGCTAAGCAGCAGGTTGGGACACAGCTAAAGAAAGAGCCTGTAAATTGGAAGAAGGAGCCAACAGGAGATAGAGAATACTAAAGAAAGCTTAAGAAACATGGAGGATAAAATAACAAGAGCTATCTTACCCTTAATAGAAATTTCAGGCGAGGCTAGAAAGATTGAGAGAGCGGCACAAGTCAAGGAGAAACTGGCTGAGATTCTTTTTTAAGGTTTTTCAGAATAGGGAATCCTGAGCAATATAAATAAAGATAAAGGCATGCCCAGACAGATGAGAATGAAACTGCAGAAGTTAGCAAGGGAAGAAAGGATTTAATCTCTCTGGATTAAGAAACCAGAAATCAAATCGCAAAGAAACAGGCTTACCTGCAAAACAACAACAGTCCAATTGAAAACAGCCTTCTCAGTATCAGCTATGGAAGCCAGAAGACAACGCACGTGCGGACAGAAAATGTAGACTTCAAAGTCTAGCTAAGCTGCTGTTCAAGAGCAAGGACAAAACAGAGACCTCTTTACCCAATAAAAATGGAAGGTTCGCCCCTAGCAGATCCTCCCTGAATGAAACACTAAAGAATATACTTCAGAGAAAAAAAAAATAAGTTGAATCTAAGCGAAATGGGAAGGATGCAGAAAGGCCATCTGTTTTTCCCTCTCATTCTTCTCCCTGAATCCACTTCCTCTATTGCCTCTTAGGCCTCCTTCCTCCCAGGTGGGAGACTGGAGAGGATGCCCACAGATTACATCACGTCTGTCCACCTACACATGCATTCTGAGTGCCTCCGGCTGGGGTTCCCTACCAGCTCACCATTCCTGGGACAGGAGGTGACAGCCAGAGGAACCCCACAGTGCATCAGAGGGCCCCCAAATTGTATACTGCAGCTGAGGCTTATAGAAGGGGCTGCACTTTCTGATTTTGTGAGGGAATCTCCTAGATGTCCAGTATGTGTTCCTCCAACCCCTGCAACAGCATCCCATTGGTCGAGGTGGGCCTTTTTGGGGGGTCTCTGAATCTGACTCTAAGACAGAGATTCCAGATGGAGTAGTTTATCTGGAAGACAATCCCAGGAGATGCTGGCAGGGGCACAGGGACATGAGACAGAGAAGAGGCAGCCAAGAAAGCATGTGGTATCTAACCAGCTACCTCTGGGGGTGACTGAAGCTTAAATCTGAGAAACATACACCTCAGAGCAATCCCACCTGAGGGGCAAGGGAGCTGGGGCATTTATACACCAACTCCTATTCACCATTGTTGGGAGTCTGCTCCCGGGGGCACCAATTTCCCAGCACTCTGGCCTGCTGCACAGGTGGAAAAGGGGGCTCCAGGTCAAGAGAAAGTCCTCAGGACACAAAACGAGGTGTCAGCAGTTGGAATTCCAGCCTGTTAGCACGGAAGGGGAAAGACAAGTGTGTGGGTGGGGTTCAGGCAGCACCTGCTATAGCACTTTAAGTCAATGCCTTTAGGAGAATGCACTTTTTTTTTTTTTTTTTTTTTTTACAGGCAGAAATAAAAGACCCCAACAAACTCAGGGCCATGATTCGCTGTAGTCCTCAGAGGTAAAAGGTGTTTGAGAACTTTCCGTTGCTCGCTGGCAGTTTCTAAATGAACGCCTGCCTCCAGCTCTGAGTTGTCTGGCAAACACTGGGAGGGGTTGCAGGCAGTCTGGAGCTTTTCACTATCATTAAAGTGACAGAATCGAAAAACACCCAAGTGTGTGATTCGTCCACTGGCCTCGCTAATGGCCTGGCAGGCAGTCCTGCAGGTAGACACGTGCTCAGAAAACCATGCAGGTGCAGCTGGCATGCACACAGCAGGTGAGGAATGCCAAAGAAGCAGGAAATTCAAGATATTAAACTTCTGGCTGATTTTAAGTACAAAAAAAAGAGGACACATTTCATATTACTGGTATTTGCCCAGATCTGAGTACTATAAAAAGAACTAGAGAGGAATAGAATTAGAAACCCACCTTTTGGCACTCCTAAAATAAAGTGGAATAAAAAGCTCTCGGGAGTGACAGGAAGAATACCAGGGCAGATGGCCTTACACACTGCAATTTAGCCCTGGCAGTAACCACAGTGGGAAGACCTGTCCCGTCCCACTGAATGACTTTAATGACCCTGCCCTTCCTCTTCTTTTGTTCATTTCTATGGTTTACAATTTTATTTTTAAATGCCTGGTATTTTATAAGGTCTCTAATAGCTTGGACATTCATTATTTGCAGGTTGGTTACCTCACCTATAAAATAAAGATGCTAACTTTTGTGCCTCCTCATTTCGGCCTCTTAACTTTCTCTGCCATTCTTTGGATGCGAAGAAGAAGGACTGCTGTTGAGGGCCCCACATCTGTCTTGGCGGCTGTTAATGAGACTGGCATAAAAAGCAGAGATAGTTCCATCCTTCCTAAAAGAGAAGAAAATTATGTAGCAATATCTCTGTACCTGAGCTGAAACAGCCCACAGTACTTGAGTGTTTGTTAGACTTTAACATCAACTGCAGCTTTATCCATCCATTCCATCCATCAGTCCATCTTTTCATCCACCCACCCATTATTCCATCACACCAGCCAGCCAGTCAGCCATCTTTTCTTCCACCCTAACCAACCTTCCATTCATCTATCCAACCAACCCCAGCAGCCTCCCTTCCTTCTTTCTAGATTCCATTCCTCCCTCCCTCCCTTTTCCTTCCCTCCCTCCTTCCTTCCTTCCTTCCTTCCTTCCTTCCTTCCTTCCTTCCTTCCCTCTTTCAATTAATGCATCTCAAACAATCACCCATCCATCTATCCATCCATCCATCCATTTACCACAACCATCTAATACCTACTGAGTATCTCTGGGATAACTAAGCACTGAAATATGGAGATAAAAAATAATCTTACCCTCAGTAAGTTTATCCTCTAATAACACTTTCAAACAAGCTATAAATGGGGATAATCTATTTTTCTTCTTTTTAACGGAAATCCTTTTCTCTAGAAATATTCGTGAGTCTTCCCACATTCAGTGGTAAGCATGTTCACAGGAAAGTGGAAAGAGAATTCTTGAGGCTTTCACTGCAGTTCAGTATGGGGCCCTCAAGCAACTGTCTTTCCAGGAATGCTTTCTCTTGGTTAGCCCCTCCTTTTGAGGACTTTTATTGGATATTGTAGATGACCCTGTTCACTTCTCTGGTGGAGTAGGAATTGAGTCCAAGCCTTCCAGATGTCTAGGAGGGCTCTGGGAATGTGCATGGGAGGTAGAATGGGCACTTCTGGGCCATGTGTTAATCAACGTGGCCCAGCTTCACTTTATTGGCTTGGCAACTGCCAGAAAACCTCCTAACTTCCCCAGTCTCTGTTTCTCCATATAAAGTTATCATGGCTCTGCTGGGTTTTGCACATATTGTGTGCAGTCTGTAAAAAGGGCTTTCTTTTTTTTTTTTTTTTAATTTTTTTTTTTTAACGTTTATTTATTTTTTTTTTTGGGACAGAGAGAGACAGAGCATGAACGGGGGAGGGGCAGAGAGAGAGGGAGACACAGAATCAGAAACAGGCTCCAGGCTCTGAGCCATCAGCCCAGAGCCCGACGCGGGGCTCGAACTCACGGACCGCGAGATCGTGACCTGGCTGAAGTCGGACGCTTAACCGACTGCGCCACCCAGGCGCCCCTAAAAAGGGCTTTCAAAACCGCCAACTATTAGAACAAAAGTATTTCTTTTTAAAAGTGCTTATTATTTCTGAATTACATAAATAATAAGGGTTGACAGTAGAAAAATCAGGAGATCTGAGGAAAAATACTAAAACAAACAATCATAAAACCATGGCAGTCTGACCACTCGATTTCCCTGAGATGTGTTTGTTGACTGGGAAAGATATGGACGTTGTTTTCAAGATGAAAAACCAGGTGCTGTAACAGGATATATGCTACTGGTCCTGTTATTAAAGACTATATTTGTGTATATATACATATAGCTGGAAGGTTATTTTTTTATTTTTTAATGTTTTTATTTATTTTTGAGACAGAGAGAGACAGAGCATGAGCAGGGGAGGGGTAGAGAGAGAGGGAGACACAGAATCCCAAGCAGGCTCCAGGCTCTGAGCTGTCAGCCCAGAGCCCAACGCAGGGCTCAAACTCATGGCGTATGAGATCATGACCTGAGCTGAAGTTGGACGCTCGACCGACTGAGCCACCCAGGCGCCCCTGTAAGGTTATTTTTAATTAACTTTACTTGTAATGTTAATACATAATATCAGAAAAGTCAGATGAATAAAAGACAAAAACTGATCCCGACCTACTATCTAGCTATGGTCACTGATGATATGTTGGCATATTACCCTTACAGCGTTTGCTTACTTTTAGATTTCTATATTTTACAAATATTGTACCAGACCATATATGCAAATATGTTACTTGCTTTTCCATTCTGTAACAAATGGCCAACTTTCCATGTCAGTACATATACTTTGTGGTATTTGAATTAGCTTTGAGTATTCTGTCCTATGGATGTATCACTGTCTTACGGGTATGTCATCATCCCCTGATGTTGGGACATTTAACAGGTGCGTCTTCCAAAAGTTGGGAATGTTTCGCTTTAAACAGTATGTAATCAAGACCCTAACAGTGAAATCTCTGTGCCCATACATATTGCCAAATTGCATCTCAGAAAGGTTGGGCTATTTATTCTCTTATTGTAGCATAGGAGAATCCTCACTACCCCCCGAGAATAAGAATATATTTATTTAAGTGTAAACTGGTAACACCTTCATGCTTTCAACAATCAATATACAGAAAGAGAAGTTTGGAAAGTCTAGAAGGAGCGGAAAGGAGAGTGGATAACTCCAAGCCTTATCCCCATCAGTCTAGGTGCTCCACGGGTAACCTTGTGAAGGCAAAACCAAGGAAATACAAACATAAATTCGTATCTTCCAACCCTTTAGATAAAAACGTAGTAGATTAAATACACTGCCCTGAACCTTGCTTATTTTTATTAATGGAATACTGTAGAGTTCTTTCCATGTCAATACTGATAGCACATCTCCTCTTTTCTCACTGCATAGAGTTCATCCCAGGGAGGCAGTAAATGTGGTAAGAGCCACCTGTCGCTTCCATTGTTTTCTATCACAAACAATGTTGCAATGAACAATCTCAATGCACTGTATGTTCTCTGTGCACACTGCAGCTATAGAAGTGGAATCATGTATTTGCAATTGCTGACAGGCCACATCCCCCTTCATAATGGATATGCCGAGTCCCATCCCCACTAGCAATGTTCCAAGGTGCCTGCCCTTGCACAGACTGGCCCACAGAGTGTGGTATTAAACATGAGGATTTTGGCCAATTCAGTGGGTGAAAATGGTATTTCGGGGTTGCTTTCTGTGGATGTGGCCCACATTTGCTCATCCTCCTCTCCCTTTCATTCCTTCCTACTTTCCTTCCTCCTTTCGTCCCTCCCTCCCTTCGATTTCTAGGAGTTCTTTATCTATTAGGAAGAAGAGTAGGCCTTTTTTTGTCATGAATTACAAAACTGTTCTTTCCATTTTTCATTTTCTAAAATTTAGCGTATGGTCGTGTTTTCCTTTCTGTGCAAAAGTTTTAAAAATATGGAACATATTAGTCTCAGGGCACCTGGGTGGCTCAGTGGGTTAAGTGTCCAACTTCGGTTCAGGTCATGATCTCACGGGTTTGAGCCCTGCATCGGCTCTGTGCTGACAGCTCAGAGCCTGGAGCCTGTTTCAGATTCTGTGTCTCCCTCTCTCTCTGCCCCTCCCCTGCTTGCGCCCTGTCTCTCTCTCTCTCTCTCTCTCTCTCTCTCTCTCAAAAGTAAACAAACATTAAAAAAAATTTTTTTTTTAATATAGAACATATTAGTCTCACTGTGTCCCTGGATTTTGAATCTTGAAATGTTAAAGTGGGATGTTCTTCAGGAGAGAGTACATCGTCGGCGTCTAGGAGCTCATTTGCTGGCTAAGACCCACAACCTGCCCCAAATCACACACGGGGGCTGTATCTCCTTGGGTTATCAGAGGCTGGCTGCCTTTTTCTTTTCTTTTTGTTAAGCCTCATTTCATGGGAACAGGAACGCTGTAAGTATCTCACAAATCCATTTAGAGAGAACAGAGGGAACAGAATCAGGAGTGGGCTTAGGTCAGGGGAAACATAACACCATCAGGCCTCTGCAGTCCTCCCCGCCCCCAGCTGGCTGGCGTGACTTGGGCTGCAGTGCGCGGACCGCCCACAGGGGGCAGCACTGCTGAATGAAAGCAGACACGACATGCTCAGGTTGTGTGGAAGCGTGTGAGCACACTTCAAGGGATTTTAGACTGCCCTGATCCCAACCCATTGATTTATAAACCACGTCCTACAGAAATGCAGAGATCATTCCACATCGCCGAGTAAGTAAGGATGTGCGTGGGCAACATTTCCTGTGTATCTTTGCCTTTCTTCCTGGCTCTGATGCAGCGTTCTAGGAGAGTCCTGGGGGGTTTAAGAATCCTGCAAAAGGATTCTAAGTCCAAGAAGCTTGCACGCTGGCCATAGACCCTCAGCTCCCTCAGCCCGGTCGTGTGCTACCAATGAGAACACCCAACAATGAAAGCACTTGGGGTGCCAGCCACTGCTCCAAGCACCTCATGCGGGTGACTTCACTTTATTTTCACAACCACCCCCTGCTATTACCGCTTCCCACAGGTGGGAAAACGAGGGACAGAGAGTTTAAGAAACTTGCCCCAGAATCCCCCCTAGTGAGTGGCAGAGCTGAGATCTGAAGCTGGTGCAGCCTGGCTCCCGGGTACATGTCAGCACGCAGAGCGGCCTCCATTAATTACAACCCCAAACCAGAGAAAATATGACTCCAAGGGAAGACGGGAAAGACAGTCACAAAGAAACACAGGTGCAAGAAACAGGCGAGGAAGGCCGCTGCCTTCCCATCCGGGGGGTACGGCTGCTGCTGTAAATCCCCAGCCACTGTGAGCACCCCGCTTTGTGCTGGCGAGCAAGCGGGGCTGGGAAAAAGGGACCCCCGGATGCCAGGCTCAGCACTTGGCTCCCCTAGCTCAGCCCCCTGGGGCAAATAACTTTCTTTTTCTTCCTTTTTTTTTCTTATAGTGGCAAAATATACCTAACACAACATTTACTATTTTTGTTTGTTTTAAAGTGCACAATTTAGGGGCACCTGGGTAGCTCAGTCGGTTAAGCGTCCGACTTCGGCTCAGGTCATGATCTCGCGGTCTGTGGGTTCCAGCCTCGCGTTGGGCTCTGTGCTGACAGCTCAGAGCCTGGAGCCTGTTTCAGATTCTGTGTCTCCCTCTTTCTCTGACCCTCCCCTGTTCATGCTCTCTCTCTCTCTCTCTGTCTCAAAAATAAATAAATGTTAAAAAAAAAATTAAAAAAAATAAATAAAGTGCACAATTTAGCAGCAGTAAGAGCATTCACAATGTTGTGTAACCATAGCCATGGTCCATTTCCAGAACTTTTCATCACCCCAAATAGAAACTCTGTACCCAGTAAACAGTGACTCCCCACCCCCCACCCCCCTTGGGAACACCTGTTCCACTTTCTATGGCTACCAACCGGACTACCCTAGGCACCTCATGTAAGTGGAATCACGCGGTCATTTGCCCTTATGGGTCTCGCTTATGTTGTTGAGCATAATGTTTTCAGGGCTCCTCCACGCTGAGCACATATCAGGATTTCACTCCTTATTCAAGTTCAGGAACACTGTGTGCATATACCATGCTTCGCTTATTCAGCCATCTGTGGGTGGGTTGTTTCCACCTCTGGGCTGTTGGGAACAGAGCCACCACGAACGTCGTTCTACACGGATCAGCCTGAGACCCTGCTTTTGATGTTTCGGCATCTACACCTCACAGTGGAATTGCCGGGTCACATGGCAAGTCTATGTTTAATGTTTTGAGGAGCCGCCAAACTCATTTTA